CTACATCTGACGGTAATAAATCATCCAAAGTTTCCATTATTTCCTTAATTTCCCCCCCCCCCCTTTTATTTTCTCAGTGACGACTTTTAAGTTATACCAGCGTGCTAAGCATGTGTACGCAGAAGCTGCCAGAGTTTTGCGATTCAAGAAAATCTGCGTGGAAGCACCTGACGATGCGATCGCATTGCTGGGAGATTTAATGAACCAGAGCCATGCCAGTTGCAGGGACTTGTACGAGTGCAGCTGCCCTGAACTAGATCAGCTGGTGGACATCTGTCTGTAAGTTGGCACAACCGGGGAAAGTAAATGCTGGTTGGGTTGGATTGCAGAGAAAACAGGACAGTGTTACACTGTTAAGTCATTTTTCTTGAACTAAATGAAAACCTTAAAAAGGGGGATGTGTGGAAATGAAAAGAATGTATTGGTGTCGCTGATCTGATGCTCCGAGAAAGCATTCGTTTGAGCAGATAATATCAAACGGATGCTTTTGGCATCGTAAGTTCGGAACTGGTTGCTGAGTGCACCCTTATCAGGTCCCACGAAATGGTCTGAATTAAATCATTACGAATAGATTGTTCATTCATCAAGCATGATGTCCAGCAGGCACTACTGCCAATTCACTTGTGTCCGCACTTGATGTGCGCTGCGCGTGCATGCACACTGAAATTAAAATGGTTCTGTGCATGTGCAGAACTGAAAAACAAGATGGTGGCGCCTATGGCACCATCCAGAGAACTGGTTCAGGGCCCTGGGCCGCTGATGGTTCCAGTGACTCAGGCCGCCAAACCACTATCAGTTCGTCCGAACCAGGCTGTACCGGTAGGAACCCATGACTGATGATGTCATCTTATTTGAAGGGAACATGTTTCCTTTCCCTCTCACTTGTTACCTGATCCAGGTGATCCTGGGGAATTCTGCACGCCAAGATTGGCTTCTGTCAGGAAGGCTCTGATCCTCAAGGAAAGGAAAGTCTTTTTCAGAGTCGCTGGGAATGGATTCTTCTACACCTATTTGAAGATGCTAAGAACTGAATCTGTGACTACCCACATCTGATACATACTGAGCTATGCTTTTTCTCCCCTAAGAACTGCTTATACATTGACTGCATTTGATCTCCCAACTAGATTCTTTTATTTCTATGTATCTGAAGAACCATGGTGACGCAGAGGTTAGAATGCAGCATTGTAGTCCAATTCTGCCGACTGTCAGGAGTTTGAATCTGACCTGCTCAAGGTTGATTCAGCCTTCCATTCTTCTGAGGTCAGTAAAATAAGGACCCAGATTATTGAGGGCAATATGTTGATTCTGTAAATCACTTAGAGGCGGCTGTCAAGCACCATGAAGCTATATATAACACACCCATATAGACATATACATGTCTCTATATAGTCTCTCTCTATATATATATATATGTGTGTGTGTGTGTGTGTGTGGGAGAGAGAGAGGGAGAGAGAGAGAGAGAGAGAGAGAGAGAGAGAGAGAGAGAGAGAGA